AAAATGAGCTGCGTGAAGCTGCCGATCAACGCGTTGCGGCTGAGGGGACAGCATGCTTCATGAAAATAGAATAAGGATACAATCTTTTTAGGAAAAGGGTTAGTTGAAACTATAGGCTATGAAATCTCAGCATTAAAAGATCGATTGTTTTTTTTTTTTTAATAAAAATGGCTTCATATAGCTGCAGGTGATTAAGCCGCTTACGTTAGTGTCGTCAACGTTGCCTCTCTCCAGCGAACGACTAAAGGGCGTTTCAAATGCAGCAAAAACCGTCTCGTTTTGCTGGAGTTCGCGACTTTTACGATCGTGAGCAGTCGTCAACATCCATTTCAGAGAGCTGAATAAAGTAATATATCGTCTTATTTAAGCGTTATTTTAATTCCTTGGCTTAGATAAAACCTAAACGCTTTCTTCTTTTGGTCAAGACAAGTCATGGTGAAATATAATGCGAGGAACCAAAGTCCCCGTCTCCATTGAGCAATCTTGTCACTAGCTTTATAGGAAAAAAAAAAACTAAACAAATTGTTTCTAAAATAGTTCACATCTCAAAAAATCTGAGAATTCGCCTAAAAAGTATGAATCGATCGCCATGCATTGCCTACAGGCTAATTACATCGAGGAGCAATATGGGTGTACTGGGGAGGGGCGGTGTGCCAAGGGGCCGCACTATGGTTGGAAACGGCCTCACGGATGGCCGGGGGTCAACGCGAAAAAATGTTTTGCCCATAACTTCTTAATGCGTGGACCGATTGCGATGAAACTTTGCATAGGTATACCAGTGTCTTTTGTGCATCATACAGTAACTCGGAAATGACGAGGTCACGTCACGTCACGCATGTGTGACGTCATCATTGCAAGCATGTTATAAGTCGCCTAGGTCTTTCGTAATGTCATCGATATCGCGAGGCATTTTAAACATGTTTTGAATACCGCTATACTGAATGGATATTGTTGTTATGCTTTACGGGCGAGAAATATCAACGTAGTGACGCACAGTGTCCTGCTATTGGTCATAAAGGGTAAAAAATTGGAGAAAAACATGGATGTTTTTTAGATTGTGTAAAAAAGGTAAGAAATAAAATGGCAATCAAAATGACAAAAAATGTGTCAGATTAATAGCCTAAGACTTATTTGCATACCAATACAGTGCACCGAACGTTATACGAGTTGGAGCAAAATGAAGTTGGTAATGGGTGAAGAATCCGGCATTGTCCTACCATTGTTTTGTAGGCTGTGTGAGCTGGGCTGTGATGCCCGCTCTAGAAATAGACATGATAAGTATTTGAATAATAGTTATGTGTTATATGACGGTGTTGTTTCCACATGATATTTGCACATTTATAGCAAAACATGATAAAAGTTGCCTATTTTTATATAGGAAGTGGGTACTTACCTATTCTTCCTCGTCGTCACCCGCCGAGTCTGATTCTGAGACGTCACTGACTTCCTGCAGTGGCTGCCCCTTCAGGAGCGGATTGCCCCCATGATCAGTCTTCTGGGTGGTGATTGGCGTCAGCTGAGCCCAAATCAGGCCGCTGATCACGGGGTCGCTCGTGACGAACAACTGCTGTGCCACATCGGTCATGTTGTGCACACGTGAGTCCTTCCGCGCGTGGTGCAGGCGGAACGATCGGAGATGTTTGTTACGCGCCTCCTGCGCCTCCTCACTGAACATCCCGATCGGGAGTAACAGATGATTGATGACGTCTGCCCCATGTATCAACAGCTTGTGAGCCGAGGCTGGCATATGATACCATGGGTAAAGCCGAACGTAGTGCTGGGCGGTCTCGAGCGCATACTCAGCATATTTTTGCACGTCGATCAGCTGGCTGCTGTTGATGGCCTCTAAAATCACGGCAAGACGTTCGATCAGTTCCCTGTCGACGCCCGTGATGTCACTGAAGGCGGGCGGGTCGGCGAACGACCGTCTGGCGGTGTTCCCGTCATTGGACGTGCCGGACCCACCCGCCCGCGGCTGGTCCACGTGTAGCCCGAGCCGGGCTCGAAACTCGGCCTGTACTGCTCGTTTCCGTTCCTTCATCACTGCCTGATTTTCTGCTCCCCTCACGGACCACGTTTTGAGAGGGATGCGGTAGCCAACGTGCAGCACCCATTCAAATGTACGTATCCAAGCATGGAGCGTTGACAGCCCGATTTGGAGAGCCTCTGGGTCCTTTTCTCTGAGCGTGACACGGTCCAGGTTATTCATCTCGGTCGGCTTTGCCCCGCAGATGTTACAGTTCATTGTTGACCTGGTGACGTTTTCTGGCCCGCTGATGGCATTTGCCACCTTACCATCTATCATTGTGAGATGGAATGTGTGGCTGACGGTGAGCACGGCGCCGTTGCTGAGCGTCACTACAGTTGGCCGCAGCTGAGCAATCTGACCTTTGATCAGCCTTTCCTCCGTCCGGATGACATCAACCGTCTCCTTCACAGCCTGGATGTGGATCGGACGGCACAGCCTTGTTGACGACGGCTTGGGATTTTTCCACACCTCGTTGTCCTCAACAAACAGCTGGAGAGGCACCAGTGTCGAGCAAAAAATGCTGTCTTCTGGAACATACTGTTCTGCATCGCCTGGGTTCCCTGAGCCTTTCTGTTTATAAATTGATTGTCCGGATGCACCATCCATACCCCATTTATATACCAGCTGCCCTCTCAAGGGCGACAGCCCAGATTGGGCTGCTGAGGTTGCTGGTGCGTCCAGTGATGCGATGACTGGTCTTGGTTCTGACGTCTGGAGGTCTCCTGTAAGCGTCATTATATCGCTCTCATTTGCACAGAGGAGCCGCCGACACGTGTGGTCCGCAATGTTCTGCAGCGAAACTTCAGCCGTGGTATCTGTGCAGGACAATCCCGACGGGTAGCAGCGCTTACGTGCCTCCAACACTCTCTCATATGACGGATATACTTTAGTTTTTGTTCGGTCATTCGTCATTCGGCAGAATAGCTGGTATGTCCTTTTTGATGTATTTCCAGCCACCGTCATCGCTAACGCTTCGTCTGGGCTGAAGCTACGGACACTTTCCGATTTTCCCTGGTAGGCGGCCCGTATCTTTTTCGGGCGGCCGGGGGATGCACCTGCTTCTGCTGCCAGGTAAGCAAGGTCATGCTTCTTTTCTCTACGTGCACGTTGACCTGTTGCTTTTAGCAGCTTTTCGCATTCATGCGCAGTTGCTAGCTCCATTGACTTGCGACGCTTTGTTCGCTCGCTCAGGTCTGAGAACGGTGCACTTTGAACGGGTGTGGTGTCCTCGCTATCGTCACACAATCCCTCAGTGTCTCTCAGGAATTCCACTTTAACGGATGGCTTTACGTTTAGCCACTGCTCGTTCCTCGAACGAAACCGATCCTCCCTGCGGCCGCATTGCACCCACTTTGATGATAGACTGGAGAGGACGCGTGCGATATGTTTTTCAAAAAAATCGCGCCCGGCTTTGGATAGCACCCGAGCCCCAACTACGCAGTGCACCGCATTTCGAATCGTCTCGGGAGAAGTGGCATTCATCCAACCACAATCCCTCACCAGATTGTAGAGCTCCCACCTGTCAATATCCACGTCACACACCTCGATCGGTTCGGCCATCGTAAACACACTCGAGGAACACGCACACCCAACCGCACACGCCCTCCTGATCCACTGACTGCAAGCCGCTCCAAATTCTCGGCTCGACCCTCCTTGACCTGACATGGAAAGCCTGAGGCGGCTGACAACCACGGCCAAGGTCATATGACGTCAGCGGACGGCGCGCACGATACCCATACTCCAGGTGTATGTATGTATTGTATGTATGTATTGACACCAAAAGCCTTCCACATATGGCGTGGCAATTACGGCTTTCAGGGGCGAGCAGTTGCTTCTTGCGAGGGATGCGGAGTCGAAGCCGGAGTCGGAGTCGCCAGGAGTCGTAGCAACAAGCCAGGAGTCGGAGTCGGAGTCCGTCAGGAGCCCGCAGTGGAAGTCGGAATCGGAGTCGGAACAGCACCACCACAACTCCGAAACTCTGGCAAGGGTCCGGAGTCGGATACGGAGTCGCCCGGAGTCATGGCAACGAGACAGGAGTCGGAGTCGGTTTGGAGCCTGGGGTCGGAGTCGGAGTCGGATTCGGCGCCACCACGACTCCGCAACCCTGCTTCTTACCATACATTAATTAGGATTAGCCATTGCACGACTGACGGCCGACCCGCTGCTAGCGAAGCGACGGGAGGTACGCCTCGGGAGATGAAGCTTCACAGAAGATTTTGCGCACGAGTGCGCAGTTTGCTTTTAGGTTCCCCTTACGCAGAATTGAACAGAGATTTATTCTGCCAAAAATCTCAATGGAGGTCGATGGAGAACTTTTTGTATGTCCAATGAAACATAAACGTAATTTTGCAAATGCTGCTGTGGTGACACTGCAAACAGAATGCAATGCCGTTCCTGATTTTGAACACGCATGGGAAAAAGAGTCACTCCACTCGATAGCCAACATAACAAGGATTATTTTGATATATAATAATCCAGTTTTACAACGTCATTGAGGTACTCCACATGCTATTACCAGCGCGGTTGTTTAAACCTTTGACGGCGCACCAAAAAAGCCACTAACAGAAACTCCCGATTCCACGTACGATAATGAAGACTAAATGCGCAACTAAATATTTTTTTCTGCCCAATTCAAAACATTTCATCAATTTCCAACAGAATGACACCTCAAATATACATATATTCCGAAATTGCCCAAGGCCATCCGTCAGGCCGTTTCCAACCATAGTGGGCCGGCGCGGTGGCGGGCCGAGCGGCCGCAGGTGGGTGGGTGAGTGGGTGGGGGGTGGCGTCCCCCGGGATGGGCCGAGCGGCCGCAGGTGTGGTAGTGTCCCTCAGTTACCGGCAGAGCGGCTGGGCTGGGGAGGTGGTGCGTCCCCCGGGCTCGGCCGAGCGGCCGCTGAGGTGGCCGAGGTCAGGGATCGATGGGAATAGTTCCGTTTAACGACTGCACCTGTCTACCTGGGTGTATCGAGCGACTGATTGAGCGAACGACGACTCCTCGTTCGGCAGAGAAACGACCTGAATTTTTGTCACGAGCATCGCCAAAACTTTTCTCCCTTTCTTGTGCTCATTTATTTTCGGTCGCAACTTATATTTTGGTGGAAACAGGCGCACTGTAGTATGTATTGGATTCTTATGACTTTGTTAAATTATTCAATAATTCGTTTAATTCATCGGTGTGTCATCTGGTACTGACGTCCTATTCTGTTCTTCGTTTCAGGATGAAATTTATTATGAACCTTTTTGATTTTGTTGATTTTCTTTGAAATAAATTACACATCTCGGTGCAACAAGTTTTGGATTTTTGCTGGCAATACACTGGGACACACGACTGCGAGCTGCGTGGGACCGGCCAAGGTCGCCACCACAGCCCTTCCTGGTCGGCAGGTCAGCAATTTGCAGCGGTGTTCACTGGGAGTTTCGGACCGTTTCGCACCGCCGGCTTAAAAGAGTTTCGGGCGTGAGAAGAGCTGAGAGATATAGCTTCGCACTTTTGTTTGAGCCTTAAAAGATGTGCTGTGCATACCGTATGTCCTATTTCATTCTCTCCTTTCTTTTGTTTCAATTGTTAACAGCAATGAAAATTCCAGGTAGCAGGCTATTTGAATACATTGAGCGATACGCGTTTCCATTGCCGATAGGGATATGAATGCAATTCTTTTTTGAACGATAATACAGTCTCATTAAAGCTCATTATTTCAAAAACAACGAATAATAATATTCCATTTATGTAAATAGAGTGAATAGCCTGCTTAATTATTAATAATTAAGCAGGTTATTCACTAATTATTAATAATTAATTATTAATAATTATCAATAATTAGGTATTAATCATGCTCAGAAATACCATAGCTTACCTCCAAGAAGTATTCCATTAATCATAGCTATTTCCATCACTATCGGGAATACCTGCAGTCATCAAGCAATAATGGATCAGGTTGGTACTGCTCATTACTCAATAACGTTTTCATTATCGCACTATGCTATATGAGCGACGAGCGCACCTGGTCCTTTGGCATGAACGGCAGGTAGACGGCGCCTGTGACCCGCACCAGGGCGCCGGTCAGACTCGGCTCAAACCGAACCGCGTCCAGCTGCACGGTCGGCCGGCGAGAACCCTTCCGCGCCGGGCTCTTCTTGCCAGACTTCTTCTTCCTAAAAAAATCAACGATCTTGATTAAATGATCATTACATATTTGAAATGCATGACGAACAAGCATATGTTTTATACGAGCAAAACTTAAGCCTGAAACATCTCAACTACTTCATATTGTATTTGTGTTATTGCCTCCCTCCCTACCCCTCCCCTCCCCCTCCCCTCTCTAACTTGCTGGCCGACTCCTCGGGCTCCTCGGCGGGTTCCAGCTGCCTCTGCAGGTCCGCCAGCAGTTCGTCTGTCAGCAGTACACCGTCCAGCAGCAGCAGCCGACCCAGACCGGAGGTAAAGTGCTGGTAGTAGCCGCTGGCCAGCTGAGGGAGCACGCCGGGCCCCGCCGAAGTTAGTTGGTAGCACTGCTGCTCCACGGCGTACATTTCCTACCAGCCCATTGGGTTTACATGTTAAATGGCCTGTTTTCGGCGAGCGATATCTCGGTCAACCTTTGAAGGAATCAATGGTTCTTAGTCTCAAATGATAGATCGACGAATTTTCTTTCGACAATCCCTCTACCATTTTTCACGAAACCCAGCCGATCTTCTAAGGCGTACAGGGTAAAGATTTCACTGCACGCCAGCACCCGCGATCCGCCTCTCCGATCGACGGCGCGCGGTCCTCGGTAGCGCAGTCTGTAGCATATCGGGCTACGGATCCGAGGTCGTGAGTTCGAATCCTGGGAGCGCCGCGTAATTTTGGCTAGAATGGAATGATGTAGATTCTTGAATGTTTGCATAATCAATTATTAATAGCTAATTGAATGTATCTGCCCACTAATTGGCCCCTAAAACCTGTTATTCAAGAAATTTAAGAAATGAATGTCACGTACGCGTCACGACCGCCGCCATTAAGCGCTACCATACTCTAGTTTAAACTAACTTTTTGCTAGTCCCGACCACATATAGTAGGTTTTCTAGTAGTTATACTAGAAATTCCTACCAAAGTTCGTCCTACCCTTCACTCAATATACCCTGGAGCACGCCAGTACCTACCGGGGGGGGGGGGGGGAGGTCACTACTCGAGTCAGAATGAAGCAGGGTAGGTGAGGATGGCGAATGGAGTGAAACATCCTGCAGGGGAAGACGTAGCGGGCTGTTTTGGGACAATTCTATTGATTTGTTTCGACAAGTAGAGTCTTGCATATTGACAAGGACTGTTGGTCCAGTAGGTACAATGGCAGATAACAGAAATATTTCAGAACTGTCGTTATATTTTTTCTGCAGCATGAACACAGCAGAAAGTGAACATCGTGCAAACTTTGCGTGGGAGGGTGTTGAATGCTTGTTTGCATATACTGGGACCCAACCCATGACGTGCCGCACCTGTTGCTCAGTTTTACGTAATCCTGAGCCAACGGTGCAAAGTCACGCATCTAACAAAATCAACATTTTACTGAACTTATATAATGATCTATGACCATGTTCCACGTACTTCTTAAAATATAGCGGTCGTGCGGTTCCTTCAAAGTCGGATGAATAATGAAAGCTGTATTGATTGAGCAAACAAGCGCAACAACCAACAGCTAAATAGGCCATGGTCTCGCGACATCGATTTCTCCCACATGTCACATTAGCACAGCTCCGATCCCTTAGAAAGCGGCGCTGCTGGCGTGCAAGGTGCTGTCCATTCCACAACGGCGGATGGGGCTGAGTGAAGGTATAAATGTACTCAGCACTTTGTCGCGCGGATTGTCACCAAATTCTGTCCATCAGGCCGTGATCGGGTAGGGAAAATGGCGGTTGTGTACAAAGTATACATTCTTTAAAGCATGAACATATCGACTTTACACGCACACAGGCAATAAATATTCCAGATAAGTTTCTCAATTGCAGCTGAAATTAATCTAGGTCGTCATATTGACAGCTGATTTTTTAAATCGCGGCCCAGAGATCTAAAGGATCCAATGAAACTGTTTGTGTGGAATAATTATAGGCAATAATACGCTTGACAGGTTGGCATGCCTCCAGGATTTGTAAAATGTAACGCCGAGCGCTGCATCCTCGAACAAAATGTTTACCGATGCGAGACATTTAGCTCAGTAACAGCGCCTTTATAACCCATAGTTAGTTTTGATAACTGCCCGTCCTTGGGATGACCCTACACTGCAGAGGCATTGAAGCTTGAAGCCAATGGTAGCCCTCTCCCAAGGAACCAGCTACTCAAGTATGTGCTCATGCTTCACTGTGACACAACCTATTAATCGTCAAGCAACTGTCGTTGTTTACCCTCTAATCACCCATCAATGGACACAATCTAGGTGCTATCAGTCTGGCCTTGTTTACCGGGATAAGGCAACAACCATGGCATCAACACCTGTCCGTCGCATCCTAACGTTTATCGCCCGCTGTGTGGGAGGTTGGCAGAACTGCGCTCACGAGAAGTGTACTGTCTTGCCGTGTATTGGCAGAACACACAAAGTCAAGACAGTTATTAGTAAAACGACATAACGCACAACAGCACCGCAGCCGAGCGTCCACCACGAGCTCCGCACCAAGACTGCCCTCGTCCCTGACCCCGGCCGCTCGGCCCTCCAAGGTCACCCGCCAGGCGGCAGCACTGACGGGTGACATAAGGCCACTAAATACTACATTTCCTCCTCCCCTACAACAAAAATAGTGACTTCATTTCACAGCTCATATTCGCCCGTGCCAGTTAAGTGCAAAGTAACTGAACTTCTAAGTACAGCAGACGCAAAAGCAGAACCACATCCGAGACCTCAGGCGATTATTACAGTACGACAACCGGTTAAGTATTGAATCCATAGTACACTGGAGCGCGAACAGCTCTTCCCGATCTCGTTGTCACTCCTGTGCCCGTCTCCGGCAGCCTTGGTCGGACGACACCAGACTCCTCCTCCGCCGTGCTCGTCTGCCCTTGCTGAAGGTCGGTTCGCGTCCGTCGCCCTCCAGTCCCTGTCGCCGTCCCAGTGTCAGGCTGCGTCGACGAGCGGCCGCTGGTCGTTTCGTCCGCCTCCAGGGGCGCCGGCGGCACGTCCAGCTGCTGCCCGTCCAGCCGGAGGTGACTGTCAGTTGTCTCTGGTTCCGGTATCGCCTCCAGCCTGTCCTGCTCCTGCTGCTCCAGCCGGTCGCGGCCGCCAGACGACTCCAGCTCCGCGTCAGTCGGTCCCGTCCGGTCAGCTGCACCGTCCGGCTGCACCGGCTCGTCTCTCCGGCCGTCGACCTCTGCTGGGCAGCTACCGGCGCTCCGCGTCAGGCGGTCAGCGTGGACGCGGGTGCCGTCATCCAGCAGATAGCTCGCTGGCCCCCGCTGCTGCACGATCCTTTTCGTCGCCGAAAACCGGAGCTGCCCCTTCCGCGCCTGCGGAGGAAGCCGGCGACGGACCTGGTCTCCCACAGAGAAGCTGGGCGTCTTGACTCCGTGGGAGCGGTCGAAGTACGTCTTCTGATAGGTTTGTTTCCGCTTCACGTGCTCATGCAGGTCACCAGGTCTCGCTGGATGACGTCCGCCGACGTCCAGTGCCGCGCTGAGTTTGCCCCTCATTGGTCGTCCGTGAAGCAGCTCAGCCGGGCTCCTTCCAGTGGTCGCCTGCACCGTACTCCGGTACGAGAACAGGAACATCTGCAGATATTGAGACCGGTCAGCCTTTTCCAGGTCAGCTATCTGAAGTGCCGCTTTCACTGTTTTGTTGGCTCGCTCTACTTGACCTGATGACTGTGGGTGGTAGGGAGACACTTTGATATGGGCAACACCCACATTCCGCAAGTAACAAGCGAATCGTTCCGACGTAAATGCAGACCCACAGTCAGATACAATCTCTCTCGGGTACCCTTCCCGGCACGCCAACTTTTCCATAAACTGTATCACCACCTCTGACGTTGGGTGCTCGCAAAATCCCACCTCGATCCATTTCGAATAGTAGTCGATAGCGACGACGGCAAACCTCTGGCCGGGTCGACCTCCACTCATTGGCCCGATGAAGTCGATTCCCAGTTTAGACCATGGCTCACATGGGAGTTGAACGGGCTGCATGGGCGCGTGTCGCGGCGACGCCGTCTTGTCTGCGAGAGAGCAGATCTGACAGCCCTTTACCTGCTCCTCCACAGCCTGGTCCATGCCTGGCCACCAGTACAGGTCTCGCAGTCTTTGCTTTGTTCGGACGATGCCTTGGTGTCCTTCGTGTGCCAGCTCAACCAGCCTCGTCCGGAGCGCCGCAGGTACCAGGACTCGACCGCCACGCAGAATGACGTCATCTTCTACCGCCAGCTCGTCTCTGCAACGGAAGAAGGGCTGCAGTTCGGGCACGCACTCACCATAGCGTCTGGGCCACTGGCGCGGTATCTGCTGCCTCAGCTTACTGAGAACCGGGTCCGACTGTGACGCCGCCCTCAGCTCCGCGCCGGTCACCGCGGCCCGCTCCTCCGTCAGGGCCGCAATCACCAGCTGTTCGTCGTCTGACGCCTCCTGGACTGATGATGGAAGTCGAGACAGCCCATCTGCCGGGTTGATGCGCCCCTTGACGTGCTCCACTGTGAAAGAATATTCCATTAACCGACACGCCCAGCGAGATATGCGCATTCCTGCCCTGCCGATCCCACGTGATGTCATCAGGGTAGTCAGTGCCTGGTGATCGGTCCTCAAGACAAAGTCCCTGCCCCACAGATATCTGTGCCACTTCTCGATGGCCCAGACACTGGCCAACGCTTCTCGTTCCGTGACACTATAGTTGCGTTGCGCTGTCGACAGCGTGCTGGATGCGAACGCAACCACTCTCTCACCCTCGGGGTGCATCTGCGTGAGCACCGCCCCGATGCCCACGTCACTGGCGTCTGTCGTCACCACTGTGGAGAGGGTCGGGTCATACATGGCCAGGGCAGAGCTGCTCAGAATCGCTGCTCTGACGTCCTCGAACGCTTCGTTCATCTTCGACGTCCACGCGAACGGCGGAGCGTTCTTCCTCAGGGGCTGCCGCAGCTCCTCCACCCTGGTACTGTACCTGGGAATGAACCGGCCGTAGAACCCAAACAATCCCAGGACTGCCTGCAGCTCCTTGACTGTACCTGGCGGCTTCATGTCTCTCAGGCCCTGCACACGGTCGGGGTTCACGGAGACACCCTCCCGGGACACTGAGAACCCCAGGAAGTCGATACGGCTCACCCCGAAGTGACACTTGTCCTTGTTCAAGGTCACATTGTACTCGCCGAGTCGTGCCATGACGTCACTCAGACGGCGGTCGTGCTCCTCCTTGGTCCGTCCCGACACGATGACGTCATCGAGGTAAACCTGAGCACCAGGTAACCCTCGCAGAATGGTCTCCATCATCTTCTGGAAGCAGCTGGGAAGTGATCGGAGACCAAAACAACACCTCAGATAGCGGAACACTCCCTCATGCGTTACAAACGCCGTCAACTGTCTGGACTCCTCATGAAGCAGCAGCTGGTGATAAGCAGCCTTCATATCGAGAGTCGAGAACACTTCAGCGCCAACCAAGTTGTCCAACATCTCCTGCATGTCAGGTAACGGGTAGCCACTGGTGCACACCGCCTTATTTACCACGCGCAAATCGACACATAGTCTCAGCTGACCTGATCGACGCCGTGATACGACGATCGGAGAGATCCATGGCGACCCGTCAACCCTCTCGATGATCTGCTGCTTCTCGAGGTCTTGGAGGTGCTGCTTCACTTCCTCACGAATAGAGAACGGCAGCGGCCGGAGCTTCTGTTGAACGGGCACAGCACCGTCCCGTAGCTGTACTCTGTGGACAAAACCACGGATAGGTGGCAGCACACTCATAGCCTCATGACTCATAGGTGGCAGCACCACTGCGTTTGTCACTAACCTCTGTGTAGCGCTGTCCTGATCGTTGCCGGCCTCCACGTCACTGGATCGTCCCGGCTGTCGATCGACCTCATACACTGTGGAGCCGTGCCAGGTGGAGATGCAGAGACTCTTCTGGAGGTCCCTGCCGAGCAGTGGCGTGCCGCCGTCCACCACGTACAGGCGGCCCTGGCAGCTCCGCCCGTCCTCCGTCTCCACCGATGCTGTGATGACGCCCGTCACCACCAGCTGGCTGCCGCCGTACGCCCGGAGGTTCACTGTCGTGGGTAGCAGCGGCCTGTGGCTCAGCGCGGTCTCGTACAGCTGGCGAGGGATGATGGACACCGCCGCACCCGTGTCGACCAGCATCGTCACCCAGTTGCCGTCCAGCCGGACGTTAAACTGCAGAGCAGAGTCGTTTTGATTGACTGCCAGAACTTCCACTACGTCTGGCTCCACGGCTCTCACCTCCTTAGCAGGTTTCTGAGGGCACCGTACAGCGAAATGTCCAACAGTCCCACACCGTCGACACTTTTGGCCCTTGGCTGGACACCAGTCATCAGTAGACACGTGACCCCGGCGACCACAAGCATAGCAGAACTTGCCTTTTGTTTTGTCGACCGGCGGTCGTTGTGCTGGTGTCTTATCTCGCGCCGTGTAGGCCACCTCCAGCGGCTCGGTTGCCGCCGCCGCCCGGCTCGGCTGCCCGCCGTCATCTCCCCCGAACAGCCGCCGGCGCTCCACCGCCCGGTCGTCGGCCATGGCGATTGACTCCAGACGCTGCAGGGTCAGATGGTCCTCAGCGCACAGACGATTACGGAGATGGTCAGACGTGCATCCCTCGACAAACTGATCTCGAATCATCTCGTCTTCCAAGGCTCCAAATGCACAATATCTACTCTGCTCTCTTAACCCGCGCCCTGCTGGGGGGGGGTGTTTGAACACCCCCCCCTGTGGTTTTTCGCAAATATCTCAAAAACGGCGGCGCGGAGCGCCGCCGTTTTTGGTATACCTTATCATACATCAATTCTACACATGTTGTAAAAATTTCAGACCAAGGTCATTCAAGGTCAGGTCACCAGGTCACTTGAAGTGACCTCACCTCATAAAAAGTTTCAATGTCTGTCATAGCTACACCAATTGACCGATTGCTTTGAAACTTTCAGCGATTGCTAAGAGCAATAGCATGTACAAAATGTATATCTCAGAATTTTGATATCGATGACCTAAGGTCAGGTCAATTTTGCGACCTCCCCATTATAAGTCAATGGGAGAAAATTCAAATGCGCCTCTTTTGGACGAAAGACATTATAAACACTCCCAAACACTGAATTACAAGTGGTTTAGACACACTGAACATGAAAATGGTGTCCGTGACCCCTGTTTATGCCCTGAGGTCATCTAAGGTCACGAATAGTATCTAACAGTTTTTCGCAAATAACTTTTGATAGAGGCATGCTAGAGCGATGAAAACGCCTTAGATGTGTTCAGCTCGACGATACGGATCGACTGATATGCAACACGACCCTTTCCGGTCAGGTCATGACCTTGACCTGAGGTCAAATTTTCAAGTTGACCTTTCAAGGTCAAGTTATAGTTCATTCGATGCGTCTTGACGAGAGGAACACGATGCCGGTAAAAGTAAGCTCGTACAAGGCTTGAGTCAAAAGTTATTGCAGAAAAACTGTTTCCGAAAAAATCGGCTATTTTTGCAGTTTTTGCCCCCTGCAGGCAAAACCGTTGACGTTAGGTCAAATCTGAGAGAATTACTCAGAAAGGGCGTTAATAGGGCTATCGAATGCGCTTTTCCGCGCCGCTGTAGCTCTATTGGTTCCCGAGTTATACGTTGGCTTCTTGGAAATTGTCGACATTCGACCTTGAAATCGGCGAAATTTTGCCTTCAATGACCTCTGGTGACCTGACCTTTGACCTGACCAAAAAATTGACCGAAGTGATTTCCTCATTATTTTTGACGCTCTTTCGAACGCCGCCTTCCGCGTGTCGCTACGTGGCCCAGGAGCCGAGTTAGAAGGGGGGGTGTTCAAACACCCCCCCCCCAGCAGGGCGTGGAAATCCAGGACCCCCAGCCGGGCGCGGGTTAATGTAGTTATGAACGAGGCAGTAGACTCCCCAGTCTTCTGCCGAAGCCTACGGAACTTTACTCTTTCTGACATGATATCCCGCGGCTTATCAAACAAATGCTGAAGGAGTGACAAACACTGTGCCATTCCCCCGTCTTCCGACTTCACCTGTACCCGGGAGTCCGTTCCCGAGTCAGTTCCTGTGCGGGTGTCACCTGACAGCGGCGCGTCCTGAGGCTCCGCCGCTGGCTCCGCCGCTGGCACCGCCGCAGGCACCGCTGCCGCCTCCGCCACCCGGTAGCGCCGCCGACCCTCCTGCCCGAGGCAGTGCAGCAGAAGCGCGCGCTGTCTGGCCTCATCCCACTGAGACCAGCCGATGGTCGTGGCGTACAGCTCAAAATCCGCATACCAAGCACTCCAAGGAACACTTCCAGCCGCGGCCGTGTCCATGAAGGGTCCCGGCGGACGAATCCCGTCCATGGTCGCCTCCGCTTGAGCGCACTCACTCGTCGCCAAAATGTACTGTCTTGCCGTGTATTGGCAGAACACACAAAGTCAAGACAGTTATTAGTAAAACGACATAACGCACAACAGCACCGCAGCCGAGCGTCCACCACGAGCTCCGCACCAAGACTGCCCTCGTCCCTGACCCCGGCCGCTCGGCCCTCCAAGGTCACCCGCCAGGCGGCAGCACTGACGGGTGACATAAGGCCACTAAATACTACAAGAAGGATGACTCTTACTTCCCAACGGAGTCGATCTGACAAGGCTTTACTTATTGCAGCCGAAATCTGCCTTTTATACCGATTTCAGCACACACGAAATCAGTGCACACGACTCCCGATCTCAATACCGCGCCTATAGCCTGGCAGGTAGGCTGTGCCGCATAGCTGCGCTGTACTGCGGTACAGCCTACCACTTCAGTGAAACTGCGGCTCGCCAGGACTGAAATCAACCACTCCGCACCATTCTGTTCGCCGCAATAGCAACAATACAGGCTACGCAGAACCGCTGTGCTGGAGCGGCAGTCCTTCCGGTGCCGTCTGTGTTTTGGTTCCGGTGCGCCGGCCTCACCGTATGGTTCGTTTCCGTCTATCGGATAGCGAGGGAGCCCCACACAGCGCGAGGAACCGGTGCGGCGGCTGCGTGAGATACGACGCAATCACACGACATACTGGGGCGCGGCTCGGCGGCAAGCTACCGTGAAAACATCCGACATAGGCAATATCAGCAACGCCACAACCCCGGAAAATAATGTAAATAGGGGGAATAGCTAATGTAGCCCAACGGAAACTTGCACCCAGTTGTAATGCAGCGATGGTTCTTGATGCTGACTTTACGTTAACCCGCGCCCTGCTGGGGGGGGGGGGGTGTTTGAACACCCCCCTTGTGGTTTTTCGCGAATATCTCAAAAACGGCGGCGCTCCGCGCCGCCGTTTTTGGTACACCTTATCATACATCAATTCTACACATGTTGTGAAAATTTCAGACCAAGGTCATTCAAGGTCAGGTCACCAGGTCACAAAGTTTCCATGTCTGTCATAGCTACACCGAGTGACCGATCGCTTTGAAACTTTCAGCGATTGCTAAGAGCAATAGCATGTACAAAATGTATATCTCAGAATTTTGATATCGATGACCTAAGGTCAGGTCAATTTTGCGACCTCCCCATTATAAGTCAATGGGAGAAAATTGAAATGCGCCTCTTTTGGACGAAAGACATTATAAACACTCCCGAACACCGAATTACAAGTGGTTTAGACACACTGAACATGAAAATGGTGTCTGTGACCCCTGTTTATGCCCTGAGGTCATCTTAGGTCACGAATGGTAGCTAACAGTTTTTCTCAAATAACTTTTGATAGAGGCATGCTAGAGCGATGAAAACGCCTTAGATGTGTTCAGCTCGACGATACGGATCGACTGATATGCAACATGACCCTTTCCGGTCAGGTCATGACCTTGACCTGAGGTCAAATTTTCAAGTTGACCTTTCAAGGTCAAGTTATAGTTCATTCGATGCGTCTTGACGAGAGCAACACGATGCCGGTAAAAGTAAGCTCGTACAAGGCTTGGGTCAAAAGTTATTGCAGAAAAACTATTTCCGAAAAAATCGACTATTTTTGCAGTTTTTGCCCCCTGCAGGCAAAAAGGTTGACGTTAGGTCAAATCTGAGAGAAATACTCAGAAAGGGCGTTAATAGGGCTATCGAATGCGCTTTTCCGCGGCGCTGTAGCTCTATTGGTTGCCGAGTTATGCGTTGGCTTCTTGGAAGTTTTCGACATTCGACCCGGAAATCGGCGAAATTTTGCCTTCAATGACCTCTGGTGACCTGACCTTTGACCTGACCAAAAAATTGACCGAAGTAATTTCCTCATTATTTTTGACGCTCTTTCGAACGCCGCCTTCCGCGTATCGCTACGTGGCCCAGGAGCCGAGTTAGAAGGGGGGGGTGTTCAAACACCCCCCCCCCCCGCAGGGCGTGGAAATCCAGGACCCCCAGCCGGGCGCGGGTTAAAAGTAGGGCAAGGTGCAGTAAGTTATTTTAGTGAAGAATCTGCTCGGAATGTATAAATGCGGTATGGAAAAGAAGTGAAGCAAAGAAGACTAGCAAAACATCCGGTGGTCGTCATCTGCCTCTCAAAGGCATGTCTTTGATATTGATCAGTGATCAATTGACAAAGTGATAGCAATGACTCGTAAGATTCATGACCCTTGACTGCGACCCCTGTCAACGATATTTCCCCATGCAGGGCACTCACAAACGCCGGGTTGCCGGAGAGGCTGATGGAGCGGATGCTGGAAGCGATGGTGACGAGCTCTGTGATCCTGGACAGGTCGCAGATGTGGTTGTCCGACAGGTCCAGCACTCGCAGCGAGGGCAGGTTGCTGCTCAGAAGGGCGCCCAGCTCCGGCAGGTGGTCTGCCAAATGCAGCAATAGACATATAAATGTCACGAGTGAAGTGGCTTACTATGCTGTGTATTTAGAGGTGCGAGATCGAGTTACAGTATCACTTATTTTTTAATGAAATATGTCATTAAGCACACCCCACATGCCTTGTTCAAAAGCACAGCGCCATTGTTGTCCGTCTTTGATAACTTTCAATAGTTCATTCAAGAACATCACAATTTAAGCCAAACCCCATCGTTCCGGCTTTTGACTATAAGGTCATGCATGGTTAGTTGTCATTTGTATGCACGCCCCAACAGTTTGTCTCATTTCATGACATGCTCCAGTAACGGGCACCGCTAAGCCAACGAATATCCGCCGCATCATGTCATCGATCCGCCGTGACACGACAACGAATGTGGGAACCTGGCCGTCTGTCAGCTGGACACTGCCGACATTCAACCTCTGTCAGTCGGACCCTACCGACCCTCGCCCTCTGTCAGGTAAAGCCTGCCTTAGAGAGCTGCATCCGCTGTCAGTGCTGTATCCTGCCACCCCTCACCGTCTGTCAGCTGTGTCCTGCCGAGTCCCAGGTACTCGAGCGGAGGACAGCGGGTCAGCAGGGCTGTCAGACCGGCGGCCAGTCGGTTCCCGTACAGCTGCAGTGACCTCAGTGACCTCGGCAGGTCGTGACCCTGGACCTCGGTGAGGTCGTTGCAGGCCAGGGAGCAGCTGCTGAGGTGGCTCAGTGCACACATCTGCTCGCCGAGCGAGGAGATCTGTAACGTAGTGGAGACACTGATGTTGCACCTAGCAGTTACCGACAGCAGACACTTTGAGGGAACCGGAACAACGGAACAATAAATCATGTGAGCTAGGAAAAAACGAGAAAATTATCAACAGCTGTTTGTTCCGTGGCCCTGGCTATCGTCCCCTTACTCTGTAAGCAGGGCGCTTTGCACACCAATATGCTTGCAAATTAGCGTTTAATAATTACCATATAAGCAGCACGCCTTGAAAGATTGTCTGTGGGATTACCCCAAACTATTGGAGTACGGAGCTATTCTTGAGCATAGTTTCGTGACTTTCCCTGGGAAGGTGACGTCAATTCCCGACCTTTGGTAGCGCCCACAATGATGTACCCGCCGACTTATTATGACAAAAGTTTGAGACAAGAGTTGACTGCCCTCCGACTGCTAGCAACTGGGAAATGCACTGCACAGCATCCATATAGCTCATATTGAAGTTGGAGATGCTAGCTATTTATGTGAAATGTATCAATTCATTGTTTTCCCCCAGTCGTGTATTTTCACTTTTCAGGCGTATTTTGTGCAATTTTACCTGAGTCTGCTTGAAAATTGCACTGAAATGAACAGAGTTTCTAAAGCCTTTGGCTCAAATATCTGTTTATTTGCTAACATTCATGAATTAACCACGCCGAATCATGAAACCGGTTTTAATTGGCAAAGAGGGTTCATGGCTCTCATGCAGTGAAGGCTATATCCAATCAGTTTTTATTTAATACGATGCAGCTGGTCGCGGACGACCGGTGAGCCTCTCCGGTCAATATCAGTCACTGTCCGACCATCCCCGCCCTGAGAGCCTCCGCGCCGGGTCAGTGGCATCCCCCCCCCCCCGCCGCGTGAGCTGCGAAAGCTCTCACAGCTCTGCGGTAGGTGTCTCGGGCGCCGGCCGAAACGCGGCCTCACTAATGCGCCAATCCGAACGAGGCGCCTCCCTTTATTAGATTGCCCGCAGAGCAATCAGGTTTGTGAGAAAAAAGCTTGCAGATTGTCTGCATTCCGCGAAGTGCCCAAACATGCTAGTAAAAGAAGACACTGAGTGATTAAGAAGCCTCTGGTAATTCGGTCAGCGCGATACGCTGACCGAATTGCTGCGCCACACAAGATAACGCGATTGCTCTCATAAGTAAGCGTTTACGATTTTTATGGTAAACTCTAATTGGACGTTAGGTACATGAAAAGGCCGTTAGATGTACAGTCTGTCTTGAAAGTACCGCAGCATGGTCTGCGGCAGCCCGGCGAACTAAAGGTCGGGAGCTCGGTGGTTTGAGAGCCCCAGAGCACGTGACGGCAGTGAGCCAGGAGAGAGTGACCGGGCAGGTGGCGTGGGGTGCCGCTCTCCCTTACTCTTTCCACCCCGCTGAGGCGCCTGTCGCCCGGGGGCACGGGCCGTCCGCGAGCACGAGTGGAGAACTTGACCGGCCCGCGAGTTACCTAAGTGTGGAACTACCCAGCGCCGAGCCGGCCGGATGACGTCACACCACGGCCAGTGCCGGCGCGGCGGCAGACTGGCCGAGATTGGCATGGTCTTAACTTGGCGAAGAGGCATCGGACGCCAAACTTCTGCTGCAGCTATTAATCACATTTCATGCGTTTCTTCTTCGAATACCTAATGTGTAGGTGAGCGTACCTGCATTTAGCAGTGTGTGCTATGCTATGTGGATGGGCACATCCGACAGTCGACACACTGCGCAATGGATTCCGATATTGCTTCTGCTTGGCTGATACTGGCTTTGTGTCTTCGAACGAACCATTGAAAGGGAGGACGTCATTTTTAAAGGTTGTTAGGTGCACTCAAACGTTCTAAGATAAGCAACTGCTGATTGAATTTCTGTCGAGGGTTGGTGGAACGCTCTGTTTACAAATGAGTATCTACCTACCTAGTACCTACCTGCAGTGGCAAATAACTGGGTCGCGGTCAGTTAGGCATGATTCACGATCACGAAGTCCCTTATCTTTTATTAGACTTATTAAGCCCAATGTGCAACATTTGCGTCTTTTCGCGTTGTATCGGGTAGCAAATGAGAAAATCTGCTTCTTCTCCACAGCCCTCAATTCAAGAAACCGTCCTTTTCCTTATCGCATCATTCCAGAACATAATTTTCAAACATGCATGGGTATCTTCCCCACAAAAAAAAACAGTAGTTTCCTTCGGCTCCAATGCGCCGCTCGCCCAGGGAGACGAAAGTGTTATATTCTCGGCGGTCCAGTCTGCATTCTGCAGCACACTCAAACTTGTCGGACCCCCAGCGCACGACTGAACGATTCGTATTGTTGTGAGTGACTGTGACAATTCACTGGTGGTTTCGGAATAATTAACAGGCGGCGCAGCCCAGTGCCTCTTACAATGAATTACAGTGGCGAATGCACTATTGCAGAGAAGAAATGGATTGAGCAGATGCCCAACCTCGCTGTATTATCAACTAAACATTAGGTACGCTTTACATTTTAATCAGGCAATCATGTAAACAAACGACTTGCGAGTTGCGACCCTTCCGCCTTACATAACACGGCAGAATGCCCCTGAGTCGGCTAAACTACACTGCATCTCTTCAAACCTTAAGTGTTTTACAATTTACCACTCAGCTATGCAACAGGCTTATAATTCACTGCTCAAGTCTCAACCCCTTTTTCCCTATCATCTTTTTGGCACCGTCAATCGCCATCTGCGCTGCCCACTGTCCAGCAAATAATCCGGCCGTCTCCAGTTCTCTGGCAAGGGCTTCCAAACTCAAGCGAACTCACCGAAGTTTCGCCATTCAATGCGCAGGATCTGTACAATTGAGTTTGAGAGCCTCTGGGTTGGCTCGGCGCGCCTGCGCCGCGCCGTTGGTCCGGCCAAGTACGCGAGTGACGTCATGCTATAAGCGTCATCCCCCGACCAAAGTCACCAATCAGAGCCCTAGAATCGACTTGTAGTTCCACACTTAGGTAACTCGCGACCGGCCCGGCCGATCCCTCGGTGGCCGGATCACCCTTGGAACCGTTTTATTCTCGACGAAAAGACAGACATAGCCAATCTAAAGCGGTGGCGGATCCAGGGGGGCAAAATGGGCATTTGCCCCTTGTTGTGTCGTGAGATTTGTCCGTGTTACTTCATAGCTGAGACTTTATCTTGGGTTAGAGCTTGTATTGCGCAGTCAGTCGCACTACGTCGGACACACAACCTCGACAACAACCAGCCATATATGGGCAACAGAGAGGCCCCGTGAAAAAGGAAGACAACAACTGACACGTCCTCTAAAACACTGCAATAGCTAAAGTCCTGCCGGCCAGCTTGGTCAAGGCAAATACACAACACTCCTCCCCACTAAATTAAGCTCCAGCTTTTGAATTGACACAAACCATTTTTTAGAAGCCAGCACACAGATCACATACATACATCTACATAAGCTTCGGCTACAGGTTGAGACGTTTCACTGGTACCCGTGTCCGGGTGGAGCGCCTCAGCATCACTTCAGGCTCCGGCGCCGGCTGTCGGGTTGATAGCGGCGCTGGACGTCTGGGCGAGTCAGCGGCCTGTTCAGCAGCAGCTCCTTCGCGCACGGGCGTCGGCTCGCGTGCTGGTTCTTGTTGAGCTTCCGGGGGAGATGACAACGGTTCCTGCTCTGCAGACAGCGACTCAGGGCGGGCCGTCTCCGGAACAACGATTTCCCGTCGGATGCCTTCGTCGTCGTCTTCTTGCATAGCCGGACGCGGATGACGAGGAGACGCCATTGGGATTGTCAGCAACTGGTCGATGTGGCGCTTCCAGACCTGGTCATGTACCTGAACCAGGTAGTGCTTGGTCCCTACCACATCCATCACCTCTCCCTCCGCCCATTTTCCGCGACCGCGGTAGTCTCGGGCGAGGACCGCGTCACCGATGGCAACCTGTCGAGGCTGACCATGACGTAGCTCGACTTGCGTTTGCTGCTTGTTCTGGATTTGAGAGGTCAGATCAGGCTTCAGAAGATCTAGCCTCGTACGTAGCTGTCGTCCCAACATCAGTTCGGAGGGCGTTCTTCCTGTAGTAGCCTGTGGAGTGTTTCGATACGCCATCAGGAAGTTTGGCAGGTTCATCTTCTTTCCACTTGTGGCCTTCAGGTAGCCCTTGAGACAGCCAACAGCTCGCTCTGCTGCTCCGTTCGTTGCGGGTTTGAACGGTGCGGTTCGGACATGCCGAATTCCATTCCGCTTCAAGAATCCTTCGAATTCCTTGCTCACGAGTTGCGGTCCATTGTCTGTGACGATTTGGTGAGGTAGGCCAAAACGTGCAAACACATTCAGGAGATGCTCGATAGTCTTTTCTGATGTGATGTGCTTCATTGGAGCGATTTCCATCCACTTCGAGAAACTGTCGATGAGGACAACGTACAGTTTCCCATCAACTGGGCCAGCGAAATCCAGATGGATTCGCTGCCACGGACCCTTTGCAAACTCCCATGGATGCAGGTCCGAACATGGTGGTTCAGCTCTCTTTTGCCAGCATCCTTGGCATCTTCGCACTTCTGCTTCAACTTCTTTGTCCATGTTTGGCCACCAGACGTGCATCCTGGCCAGCTGCTTCATTCTGACCATTCCTTGATGACCTTCATGTAGTTCTTCAAGAACTCTTTCCCTCAGATTCGGTGGAACTACCACTCGACAGCCCCATATTAGGCATCCTTGCTCCACCGTCAGCTCTGTTTGTCTGACCTTGAACGCATGTAGAGCTTCTCCGACTTTGTCTGGCCATCCTTTGTTTACGAAGTTGACCACTTTTGCGAGCAGCGGGTCTCTTGCCGTCTCACGCTGGATCGCTGCAGCAGTGACTGGGTTGAGAGAACTCAACTGGCCAATCAGGCACACGGTGCATTCATCTTCTGGTGCACTTGAATTCATCACGGAGGTTCCTTTTGGTAGACGCGATAGCCAGTCTGCTACCGGTATCTGTTCAGACCTCCTGACTTCCACGGTGAAGTCGTACTCTGCCATTTTCATCGTCCATCTCTGAATTCGGCTTGCTGCTAACGTTGGCAGTGGCGTTTTGGGACCGATCACCTGAGCCAGTGGCTTGTTATCGGTCACGAGTTTGAAGTGACGTCCGTACAGAAACTGCTTCAGCCTTTCGAATGCCCAAACGATGCAGAGTCCTTCTTTTTCGATTTGTGAGTACTTCTTTTCATGTTCACTGAGTGATCTTGACACGTACAGCACAGGTCTTTCGGGAACACCCTGCACCAGGACTGCCCCCAGACCATGTGGACTGGCATCGGTGATGACAGTCACCTGTTCCTTCACGTCAAAGTGTCGGAGCACTTCAGCAGATGCCAGGCGGGCTCTGATTCTCGTGAAACTTTCTTCACAATTCTTTGACCACTTCCATTCTTTGTCCTTCTTCAGGAGTTCATTTAGTGGTTTCGCCATCTTCGACAGATTTTCCAGGAACTTGCTGTAAAACGTTACAGCTCCCAAGAACTCACGTAGTTCTCTTTGATTTGTTGGCGCGTTTGCCTCCAGCACCGGCTTCACTCGCTCGGGATCAGGTCGGATTCCGTTTGCACCCAATCGCACTCCCAGATAGCGAACTTCCTTCGCCATGAACTGACACTTTTCCTTCTTGAGGCGCAGACCGTTTGTTTTCAGGATCTGCAGCACTTCATCCAGCCGCTTCAAGGCTTCTTCTTCAGTTTTTCCTGTGATGAGGATGTCGTCCAGCAGACATTTGACACCTGGTACTTTCTTCAAGATTCGGTCCATCGCTCTCTGAAAGAGCATTGGAGCTGACGCGACTCCATAGGGGAGCCTCAGCATCCGTTTCAGTCCGAACGGCGTGTTCAGGTAGCACAGTTCCTGACTTTCTTTTGACAACTTCATTTGCAGATAGGCTTGCGACAGATCCACCACAGATATGAACTTCGCAGGTCCGATGGTTGCCAGCAAGTCTTCGGTCTTCGGCAGAGGATGTACCGGTACGTTCAGGTACTGGTTCAGCGTCACTTTGAAGTCGCCACAGAGGCGTACGCTTCCATCTGGTTTGGGCACCACAACCAGTGGTGTTGCCCACTTCGGCGTCGGTTCATCATCTCGGAGATCTTCGATTACTCCCAGCGTCTTCCATCTTTCCAACTCCTTTTCCACTGCATCAGTCAGACTGTAAGGTACTGACCTTGCTGGTTTGAAGACGGGCTCTGCGTCTTTCTTCAGTTCCAGATCAGCTTCCTGACCACTCATTGTTCCCAGTTCATCACTGAAGAGTTCTTCATGTTCCTTCAGCACTGCACTCAGCTTCTTCATATTCTTTTGTGGTTCAGGTTTTTCTTTCACGTGACCAACCAGACTTGACCAGTTCAGCTTGATTTCATGCAGCCAGTTCCTTCCGAGGAGGCATGGACCATTTCCTCCCACTACATATACTGGCATCTTCTTCTTCATTTGACCTTCGTACTGCACATCCACTTCTGTCATTCCTCTGACAGGTATTTCATGTCCTGTGTACGATGTGAGCTTACATCTGGTATTCTTCAAGTTGAGGCTTTCAGCCTGCGCTTCTGGAATCATGGTTACCGGACAGCCTGTGTCCACAATGAACGTAACGTTCTTCTCGTTGACAGCCATGTTCACTTTGATGGCTTCCTTCCCTTTTGATGTGCTTTGGTACACACACAGATTTTCTTCAACTTCATCATCTTGGTCTTCTTTTTCCACATTCAGCGTTTTTCCATTTCTGCACGCTGCTTCCAGATGTCCTTGTTTCCCACAGTTGTGGCATCTGACGTGGGGTGGTACCCTGCAGAACTTGATCAGGTGGTTCGTTTTCCCACACCTGAAGCAATGTCTCCTTTCAGTTTTCTCCAACTTCCACTTCCTGTTTTCTTCATTGTTTTCATTTTTCCATGTCTTCCCTTGACCATTTGCATTTTTCCATGGCCTCTTATCTTCATGGCTCTTTCTTTCATTTACATTCCATGGTTTCCTTCTTTCCTTCAGTGATTCATTTCTTTCTTTGTTATGCCACTTCACCTTGTTCACTGCTTCTTCTTCTGCACTTTTTCCCATTCTTCTTACTTGTTCATTCACTGTTGCGTCAGTTGACCATATCATAATGGCACGCGATAGGGTCAGCACTCTTTCCTTGAGCATTGACTCCTTGACCTTGGAGGATGGGCACGTTGCTAAGAGCTTGTCCCTGATCAGATTGTCCATTTCCGAAGCTTCAAAATTGCATTTCCTTGCTTGCGTTTTCAGTTTAGCTACATACTCCTCTACCCTACCTCCTTCATATTGCATCATGTTGAAGACATGACGCTCCACCACCGTGTTCACTTGAGGCTTGAAATGCTTTTCCAATTGTGCTCTCAGTTTGACGTATGGGTCAGTTACATCAGCTATATCAGGCAGCGTATCAACAATTTCTTGTACATCCGGGCCAAGAAGATGTAGCACGATGTTCACTTTTTGAGCAGATGATTCAATATTTTGAGCACCCATGTAAATTTCAACTGATTTGATCCATTTACCAAAATCCTCACCTTTTTGCATACCCGGTGGCGGTGGCAGACTCGTAGCCATTTTAATTTCTTTTTGAGAGTTCAAATACGAAATTTAACCACTTTCACTTGTTTTTCTGGTTTCTTTTTCACTTTCTTTCCTTTTTAACAACTCCTTATATCTTCATTTGCATCGAAATTCAGCTTTTCTTTCCTTGCGACAATTGTTGCGCACTTGTGACATTCCTTTAATCTCCTTTTAGCTCTTATTCATTTTATCTCAGCTTGATCTCACTTTTTGATTTCTTTATCTCGTCCTCGTCGCCAATTTTGTTGTGTCGTGAGATTTGTCCGTGTTACTTCATAGCTGAGACTTTATCTTGGGTTAGAGCTTGTATTGCGCAGTCAGTCGCACTACGTCGGACACACAACCTCGACAACAACCAGCCATATATGGGCAACAGAGAGGCCCCGTGAAAAAGGAAGACAACAACTGACACGTCCTCTAAAACACTGCAATAGCTAAAGTCCTGCCGGCCAGCTTGGTCAAGGCAAATACACAACACCCCTCCCAAACGGCATACTTTTAACATTACGCCTATGGACGAGGCATAGAAAGAATCGATAAATTGTTATGGTTTGCCCCCCCCCCCCCCCCAAAAAAAATCTGAGCTGGATCCGCCTCTGATCTAAAGGCTGAGCGCGACTGCTTGCATTGTTATCAGAACATGACACATATTGAACAATAATTTACGATCATGGAACGGAACAGAGTAAATGTAATAAAACTAAATAATAATGTGAATAACAACACAGAACGATGTCAACGCAGTAGTTTTGTCGAAAATCTGAATGGGTTTATATCTGATCGATTGATCCATAACTTAGGATAAAGTAATTTGTTGCGTATTTATTTATGCGAGATAAAAAAAAGAACTCCCATTCTCACCACCCTTGTTGAGATTGAAGCACAATAGTATTTAAGCGAAAGCTAATGGAAGTAAGAGATCTTCAAGGTCGGGTCACTTAGGTTACGTTATAGTATCCTAGCCTCAGGAAAAGTTATAATGCTCGCCGGCACTGAAGAATGCTCGAGAGGTCACTGGTTGACCTGAGATCTTAACCTTCACACTTACAGGAGGAGGTCAAACCGATGCGTCCCTCACGGCTTTTTCACGAATAGCTCGAGTAAAAAGCGACCGACCGACCGACCGACTGACCGACCACGACAAAACTTTCAATATCCTGGAATTGATCAATGCTTTATCTTTCCTAAAAATATAATGACCCTGAGCCCAATGGCCTTTGACCTGTAACCTCTTTCTCGATACCATGTCAGGCCAAAATGCCGATTCCATGCATGTCAGCGCATATCATCTACGCGTTTCCAGGCATTTTGTGATTGGAAACATCAGGTCCCTGCAGGTGAAATGATCAGAGCCGACCTGATCATTTCACATGTCCGATCAGGAGCCGAACGGCTGTAAAGTGGGTTCCTACGGACCATTTCCATCAGTAGACGCTATAAAGCGGCCAATACTGGCAATATTAAAATTAGTTACCAGTCACTGTGTCTCGTAACCACGCACACAGCTTTCTGGAAGCCCCATTAATATGAGCGAAACGACGGAGACCGCACACGCTGCCCTCTGGCCGGTTAACATGTGAAACACATAAATGTCTGGCGAGGCTCGAAAGGGAAGCTTCACTTCCCATTTATCAAAACTTTCATGTCAGGAAGAGAATTACTACGCTTAGCTCGTGTCTCTGTATAACGTATTCATAAAAGAGCGCCTTGTCTGCCGCACTGGTAGCACCGAGAGCCCGCTCACTCGCGCCTACCCCTCTCCTCCCTCCCTCCCCCCAAGGGTCAGGCGATCCAGTGGCCCTCAAACCTGACCGCCCTCCGCCGCGCCGGCTCACCAGTGCAGCGCCACCCCGCCATGCTGCGGTACTTTCAAGACAGACTGTACCTATGTTGATGTTGTGTAGGGGTAAAAACTCGAGCGGTTTTACGCTACGCAGTAGCGAGCAGCTAAAACGTTTTAATATTTTTAATCTTTTCTGAGATGATAACTTTTGCCTGCTGATGTACTGATAAAAACCCTTGCATTCTATATCAATGCACTATCTGCTCGTTACCATGCCACAGTCTGTTGTGGAGTGGGGGCTGTTTTGTATGCTCTGAAGTTAAAATGTTTTCACTTCAATGACGATCGCGGTTGCACTTGGCTTCACCCATTGCTTTGTTCCTTTAGGTATAGTTTATACGCCCCCCCCCCCCCACCCCCAAGAAACAAAAACAAAACAAAACAAAACAAAACAAAACAAAACAAAACAAAACAAAACAAAACAAAACAAAACAAAACAAAACAAAACAAAACAAAACAAAACAAAACAAAACAAAACAAAACAAAACAAAACAAAACAAAACAAAACAAAACAAAGATTGCAAACACATGACACTTTCAATGACATAGTTATGTTCAATGCTATAACGAATTTTTACAACTTTGTCGTAGATGAGACTGTCAAGTGTAAATGTCGACCCCCCCCCCCCCCATGGCTGTCAGGTCCCCAGGGAGACGCTCGTCGGACGGCAACTTAGCCAGACGTCGCCATCAAAGAGAACAAACTTCCAGAATCTAATCAAAACCGTCAAAGGTGGTCTCGATGTGACAAAACTTCCACGGCAGTAATGGACTCCATGACCATGTGACCGGATTGGCAGAGTGGATCCCAGCGTGGCACAGCGAACTGACACCGCTGGGATGAGCGAAGACCGTTCGATAGCTCATGGTCGAAAATCCGGGCTCCGGTGGGACACTTTGTCAATCTCTTTTCCGGAAATCGGATATTGAATCTAGGAATATTGCATCACGCCCCACAGATTCTAGAGCCCAGCAACGTCAGGATTTAAGTCATGGCCCGGCATTTTGCTTCTTCCGCAGAGCTTATCCTGATTTGGAACTAAATAATTCATTTTAAATCCATTGATCTAACCTTGATTAGCTATTAAAGCTAATCTATAGTACAACAGAAAGCGGACACAGCAGATTAGCTGTGATCAGGCTGCCTTATTGGGCGATTAGCTTGGAATTAGTATTCTACTAAATCTTGTTTGCCGCCACATGAAGCTAACAATCAGCCGTCTTTGATGATGTTGACGCCACCGCGGGTCTCTCGTCTGAGCCCGCGAACAGCTTCCCGTCGTGCCCCCGTCTCCGGGCGTTCATTACAGAGGACGGAGCCATCACAAAGTCCGTAAACCAAACGCAGGGAGCGCCGATATTGCCTGGAGCGCCTCGCTCCATTTTCGGGCTCGCTCGGTGCCGTTCGGTCTTTTAGAGTTAGACGCAAAAAAAAAATGATTAAGTCTAACCTTGGCAAAGAGATAATAGCCGTTTTCACGACGGGCTATCCGGCGAGTGGACTTAATTTGACCAGATCTGCACCTAATTTCTTTTACAGCAAATATCTTCATTTTATAAGTTTGTTTCAGTGTTTTAACCCTCGCCCGTAAACGGCGATCTGCCACCTTCGCCCATGCAGGGGGGGGGGGGGGTTGGTGCGACCCCCCCCCTTGGCGTTTGAAAACGGAGCGTCGTAGAGCTTAGCGGAAAAGACCAACGGATTGCTCTCGCCGAGATCTCGCGATTGGTGGTATATTTTTTGGTCCTAGGTCAACATTTGACCTACTTTTGACCGGTCAAAGGTCAAATTTTCGGAAAAATAGACTTTTTTCAACTTTCCGCGGCGATTGCGGCAAAACGGTGGGAGATATCGACTTGAAATCTTCACTATCGTGTTTCTTGATCAATTCTCTATCGTTTGGTATGTATTTCGTTTCCCTAGCTCTAAAAATGGCGCGTTGGGAGCGCCGGAAGTCGGCAAGGTCACAGTCGGCGGCAGAAATTCGAAAAATCAAAATTTAAATTTGTGAAATCTGATTGTATTTTTGGATTTGGGAGGTCCATTTGCTCCCTATAGAAGCTAATATTGCTGCATATTCCCATTGAGGTGACAAGAATTAGCAAAATAGTGGTTCGGGCGCTTTTCAAAAATAGTACCGGACGCTGTTCCTCTTGTGACGTCATAGCTCCGTGACCTGACCTGACCCGGTCAAGTTTCTTATACCATATGATAGCCAATACTTGCCCCAACATGCATGGGAAGTTTCATCACGATCCATCAACCGATGTCCGTACCACCGGCAGGAAACCTCGGGCGTTGGCACTCAGTTTGTGAAAATCCGGCCGGAGGCTGTTCCCTTTGTGACGTCATAACTCCGTGACCTGACATGACCCGGTCAAATTTTTTTTTATCAAAAGATGCGCAAGGTTTGCCCCATAAGGTACCCAAAATTTGGCGGCGCTGCGCGCCGCCGTTTTTGCACTATTTCCGAAAAACCTCAGGGGGGGGTTGCACCAACCCCCCCCCCCCCTACATGGGCGAGGGTTAATCGATTATGCTCTCTGATAATATGGCAAAGCAGGCATATAAGCAATTAGCGCAACCCTAGCTGATAGCTACTAAGAGACACACTGAACCTAATTTGACCAAATCTGCACCTATCTGTACCAGATGTGCACCAAACGTGTACCAGATGGCCGTCGTGAAAACGGCTGATAAATATATTGTCCTATTTAACCCTCGCCCGCACATGGGGGGGGGGGGTGGTTGCCACCCTCCAGGCAGTCTTTCTGCTCTGCACTCAACATTTTTAGAGCTAGAAGGCTGATTTTTCGTATAGCTGCTCCTCTATCCTTTCTTGATGTCCACTGAAAATTTCAAGTTTCTGTGATTTTTTGTTTTGGAGATATGACCTTGTTTTTTCAGATCATGTCATGACCCAAATGGCCAATTCTCAACATCTTGCGTTTGCCATGGGCCTTGTGAGCTTTTGACACCCTGATTTCGGCCTTTTTTGCCAGTCTTACCTCCCACCTATCATGGAACATGTTGTTCGACGATGTACAGGGGTCAAGGTCAGGGTCAAGGTCAACCTAGGTCATCTAAGATAATTGCGTTTTAGGCAAGCTGAATTTAATTTTTGTGAAGTTTTTTGACTGCATTTTTGGTAAAAGCTTCTCAGATCATGATTTCATGTGATATGGACCCAAAAACAATCGGTGCACACATCAGTATACACACAGACAAACACAGACATACAAACACATATAATTGACCTTGACCTAACTTGACCTGAAATGACCTCAGCAGCAAAATTCTGGTCGGATGGTGTGACAAAGAGGTTCTAGCTGGCTTGGCACCAGAAAACAGCATCGTCATCGGTATTTGATAAGCAGCGCACTTGATATCCAACGGTGACCCAAAACAGCAACATTTTTTAGTTTGACCTGACCTGGAAGGTCAATGACTGACCTGAGAAGGTAAAACTGGGTATCATTGGATTCGTCTCTTCCCAAAGAATCTTTTTGGTCTTTACTGCTAAGCTCTATCTCCAACAGGAACGAAATGGCGCGGGGGGGGGGTGGCAACCCCCCCCCCCCCCCATGTGCGTTCTAGGATGGGAAAATGGCATGTGCGGGCGAGGGTT